TGAAGGACGAACCAAGCCATCAAATAAACATACGGAAGCTCCACCTTAGTGGTAGGAATTTGAGTCGGCGATTCCTTCTCCTCCCGTGTAAAAGCGCCAGAAATTTGTCGAAGCCCTCGATGAATGTTAGCCACCATCACCGGAAGAAGGGAAAGTTCCTTTCTGTAGGCAAGTTGAACCGCAGGGTAGAGCACTTCCAGTGGCAGAGCGTCACCAGACTGATACGGGACCACGCATTTCTTTAACCAGATAGCGAGGTAACCGGCAAGAAGAGTCATCGGACGAATCGGTGCGGTCGCATGGCATAAGAATGATTTGAATTTAGTCCCTGCAGGAAAGCCACTCTCAGGACTGCTAATGGTATAGGAGTGGGCGTCAGTCTTCTTCAGCAGCTCATTAACCTCTGAAGGAGTCAGCGGTGCCAGTTCACAAATAGTTTTGCCAGAATGGCTCTCCAGATTCCTGAACAAATATGATGCGAACTGCTTCAGGCTCACATTTGATTTGGTCCTCTTCGCTAGGGGCTTAGACTGCACCAAAGCAATGTAATAGTGACAGGTGAGGTCCCATAAGGTCTCGTAGCGGTCGGGCATGCGATCCTTCAGCTGACTCAGTTCATGGTTGGAAGGAAAATACTCCTGGTATAACATCTGACCCATGGGCAAACCAGAAATCTTATGCATCTCATGAAGAGCCAAACCCAACTCTCCATGCCTAGTCAGAAAGGTGTTCGAATCCGGATTATAAAGCTCGCATAGGGCAAAGAAATGCCTCGCACTAACAGGTAAACCATGCATGGTGGCACGAATGGCTGCATAAAGACCGCAAGCATGCAACTCCTCGCTCCATCGACTCAAGACGTACTTCGTCATACGAGCCCACCAAAACCTGTCCAAAGAATGGACCCAACCATAGAATCTGTGGCGCGGTGCAGGCATCTCCCATCCTAAGTTAGCGAGGCGATTCCTCAAAGTGGAAGCAGAGGCAAGGAACTCGTTACGGGGCGATGCATCTAGCCCCAGTACTCCAGGACGCAGTCCAACAATGTGATCCCTGCTCGAACCAGGAACTGCCTGATGAGTAACATAGCCGCAGTGGACACTCTCATGCTCCTCTGTCAAACGCCACGACATCTCCCGTTTCACAGCCTGGCGCCTGAGCTCAGTCAAAGAACGGTGTCGAGGAATCTTCGGCAAATACATAAAACGACTGCCAGTCTGGTAAAACCACTGCTCAGCTTCAATAAATGCTGCTTCGGGAAAACAAGAAATCAGTCTTCCTGAGAGACTGAACGGAACTAGCATCCTTCACAAGGGGCGCATCTGTAATCAGCTGACGAAGGGCTCGATGTCCACCTTCCTTCACCACTTGGGCAACCTCTGTCGACGTGCCCGGAACAAACTGGGAAGCAGGTGGAATCGGCGAAAAATCATCAGACGTCGAATAATATTCGTCACGACGTCCATTCACCGCATGCGATGAAAAGGCTCCGGAAGGATACTCCACTGAAAACAAGCAATTAAGTGTTTGTTAATTTCAGGTATAAAAGGAAATTGAACTCATCTTACAAATCGGTAAGATAGAGTCATTACCTTATAAAGGGTGAGACGATTTGGCCACATTGTGCATTTATAAGATAGGGCATATCGACAATATATCCCTGCCTTATAAAACACAATGCAGCGTCAAAACGCCCCCTTTATTTTGAGATATGGTTTTGACCAAGCAAAACCTATCTTTAAAGCGTCGATCCTCACCAAGGAGAATCAAGGCTCTTCCCGATTGCCTCACCAAGGAGAACAACGTGGGGTTAAAAGGACCAATTTGCAAATTTTCAGAAAAAAAAGGGTTAATTTGTAAAATTTTCATCTTTAAAGCGTCGATCCTCACCAAGGAGAATCAAGGCTCTTCCCGATTGCCTCACCAAGGAGAACAACGTGGGGTTAAAAGGACCAAGTTGCAAATTTTCAGAAAAAAGAGGGCTAATTTGTAAAATTTCGAATATGCAAAAAAAAAAGCTCACCAGCATATGAAGGAAGCACGCCGTCAGTCGATACAGCAGGGGAACGACCTCTCGAGACTCGCGACATAATGACCTACAAAATAAATCAAGAGGTCAGATCTAGAAAAAATCCTCTTTTTATTGCAATTCTACCCCCTGAAAGATAAGCTCGAGGCGCCAAATCATAATCCTAACCCTCGCATGCAATCCCACAAGTTCATAAATTAAATTAAGCATAAAAAAATGCTAAAATTATGGAAGATATACCTGAGGGAAAGCTCGAAGATCCAATAAAAATTAGATCTTGAAAAGTGCTCGAACCACGCGCTCGAGGGGCCTGAGAGAAATTCTAAAAATGGAAGTTTCGAGGGATTTCTCAGTCAAAGATCCAAAGGAATGCTAGATCTAAGACGGATATCAAGTTTTGAGGGAGAACGGATGCTCGAGGGAAGAGAAATTCAAAAAAGAGGAGAGAGAGGTGGCCGGCCCTAGGTGAGGGAAAAGAAAAGAAAAAAGACCCCTTTTGTAGGGTGAACCGGCCTTGAACCAAACCGGCCTTGAACCGGACCAGACCGGGTTTGAACCAGAATCCAAATTGAAGCCGAATCGAGCATCGAAACAACTTCAAATCGTTAGAGGATTCAGTCCTTGAATTATTCTTGCCTCTCCCACATGTTCGGAAAAATCAGAAGATTTTTTGAGCCGAATTACTACCTTTTTTGGCTCATTATCAAGTCGGTTCAGCTCGTTATCAGGCCGGTTCAGCCCATTTGGGCACAGAAATTACTCCGAAAAGTATACGAGTATAAACTGCTTCTTAATACTCCAATAAGGTATATGAGTATAAACTGTTCCCTAATTTTCGTTGAGAAGTTCCTGGAGAATGTTTTCATAAATATTCTTAAGGATAACTCAACAACACGACGCCGGACAACGCGTTGGTGGCCGGCCCTAGAAAGAGAGGAAGAAAAAGAAAAAAATAAAGAAAAAAAACCTCTTTTATAGCCTTGAACCAGATCTGGCTGAACCAGACCAGACCAGGGTTGAACCAGACCAAGCCAGATTGAGCCAGAATGAGCCAGAATGAGCCAGAATGAGCCCAAATTGAGCCAGTCTGAGCCAAATTGAACCAGTTTGAACCAAATTTGAACCAGAATTCAAATTGGAGCTGAATTAAGCATTGAAACGACTTTTGATCAACCTACAGTTCAGTCCTTCACCTATTTAACCCTTCTCCCATATATTTGGAAGGGTTGGAAAGATTTTTGAGCCCAAATACTGCCTTTTTGGCACATTTTTGGGCCGGTTCAGATTATTCGAACCTAAAGAATACTCCGAAAAGTGTACGAGTATAAACTGCTTCTTAATACTCCAATAAGGTATACGAGTATAAACTATTCCCTCCTCTTTGTTGAGTGTTGAGAAGTTTCTGGAGAATATTTTTTATTCTTAAGGATAACTCAACATAACTCCTAGGAGTGTATGAGTATAAACTAGACCTCCCCGCTCCAACTCCTTAAGAGCTTAAACTGTGTAGACTCCAAAATACTTACGAGTGTAAACTGTGTTAAACGTCGGACAACGCGTCGTAATGAAGATTCAAAGCCGTCAAACGATGGTCAATTCCATGTTGAAGCAACTAACTCGAGCTAAAAAGCCAATAAATCAAGAATCGACTTCAAATTCAAAATTCCGACAACGGTCAGACAATAAATGCAGCACCGGAACCCTCTCAAGCATTCGGCAAAGCACCGAATAGCCTGGAGGATTGAAGGAATCGAGAATAGAAGCCATTCCAAGATCCCGTTACACCGATTGAAGGTTGGGACAATCATATCCAAAGTATTCCAGACTCTTCTATAAAAGAACGAGACTGGAAAACTTTGGAGGGGGTATCTGTAGGCATATAAAATTGCTTATAGGTCCATTGACACGGTTCAACACGAACTAATGAACCATCAGGCGACGTATCTAAACACGAACGTCAGTCCACAACACCGAAGCCAAGTGACACGCAACGAAGCGGATTAACAAGGCTACGAAGCTGACGAACCGCACGTGAACGACGGAATGAATCCACTCGCGTGCAGAATCAAACCAACGGTCCAGGGAGTCAACAAGTCATCCAACCATATAACGGACTCGAACTCAGACACCAAAGCCGATTTACTGCCTAATCGGGATCCAGACTTCCAAATCAGGATTCAGAAGCCGAGCCACCCTGAGGTGGCCGCCCAGATCTGTGCCAAATGCACAGATCTGGTTGCCTATAAATAGGCGGGGTCATTCATCATTTGGGGGGACTTTTTTGGAAGAACTTTTAGAGAGCCGAAACTCTGCCGGATTAAGACCTCATCTTGGAGTTTTTGAAGGCTTGAAGACTTGGACGTTTGGATCCGATTCTCGACGAGCACCCGCATCACAAAAAGGCAGAAGTTCGAGGGGATCGAGATCTCAGATCTACGTTGTTACACTCCGGATCAAAGCTTGGTCTTTGATCCCGAGATTCGAGCGATTGTTTCCTTGGTGAAATAATCCCTCCGGCTATTATTTCCTTAGTGAAATAATACCCGTTATACTGCGTAGATCTGTTCGGATCTAGATCGCGCGGTGGTCCACGGCAAACAACCCCGACGCAGGCAAACAACCCACGCAAGCGAGTGACCGAATAACAGGAGCTCGTGATTTGTTCGACGAAGGAGAAAAAGTTGTAATTTTTTTTTTAATTTTCTTTATTTTTGATTTTCATTGTAACCGGATCTAAAAAAAGACCGGATCTTCTGTAACCGAAAAACTGGTATTCAAGATAGCAGTGGAATCAATGAAGAAAGCAACGATTTTCCGAGCGAACACAGCCAACTACTCAGTCCAGTGTATAATGTGTTGATTTCTCATTGACTGAGACATGGACTCAACAAAGGCACATAGCATTTCCTCTTCACGATTAGATGACTGAGACATGGACTCAACAAAGGCACATAGCATTTCCTCTTCACGATTAGATTTTTTGGTTTTTTTTGTTAGATGATGAAGTCATGTTGTCTTTACTCTTAGTCTTATATCTAGTGGGTTGTGGTTGGTTAACAGCACCAGAACGTGGTTGGTTGCAAGCATCAGACTGTGGTTCAGTTTCAGTCTCCTCTAGAATCTCACAATCATCATCGGGAATAAGTATGGACCTACTAGACCCAATGTTAGCGTACACGGGCCTAACAAAATCACCCTTGGCTTGATCATCACCCATGATAACTTGTAAAATTTTAAAGTAAGGAAGGGGTTTGTTTATGTACGCTTTGTACTTAGAATTAGATTTGTCCTGCAATAACAAATACTTATAAGCAGTGAATCAAATGTATTAAATTGAAGGTGACAACATAGATGTTGAATTTGTTATACCTGGGCCCAAGATTTCAAGGTTTCCTCATCCAATGTAATCATTTTACTTGTTTCATCCCACCCAGCACCACTTATATCAAGGCAAGCCTTCATGTCATTGAATTTATTCCTCAAACATTTCAAGTGGTTAATGACATGAAGGTGAGTGAAATCAGTCCTGAATTGCATGTTGATTTTCATGGCAGCCATTTTATATGCTTCAACCTTGAAGTTCTTGTCTGGCTTCATGCTATCCAATGCTAAATCTGCAAGATAAGGAATAAGCACATCATCGTGCTCTGGAAGCCAAAACTTATTAGCCACGCCTCTTGAGTTCAACCTGGCACAAGGAACTTTTTTTTATGGGCTAATCTTTTCCCTCTTTTCAATGGCGAAGTGTGCTCCGCACCATCAACGTCATGAATATCCTTTCCACCTGAATCACCAGTGTTCGGTGAAAATTGATTAGGTCCACTACTTTGAGAACTGGCTGTGGGAAACATCAAACCTTGTGGACTGCCTAACAAGCTCATGTATGACATTGGCGGCTGTGTCATCCCACCATAATTACCATCCCATGGTGGGAATGGTGAGAAAGTATGCGGAGGTGAGGTGAATAGGCATGTAGTTCATGTTAATCCCTGATGTAGGATTTGGCATTGCATTCGAATGAGAAGGCACGCTTTGTTTATCTGCCGGATTATTAGCCATACCTAACATGTTTTGTATGCATAGCCATATTAACAATAAAGAAATATAAAACAATATGGGATATGTGTGCATTTATCAAGGAATATACGAAACGACGATATTTCTCAAACAACATAACAAAAGAGCAACTAATAAAAGTAGTAATGGTTTGGTACAAGCAGAGAAACAATAAACAATATCGATGCGAACAGTATTTTAAAATTCACCAAGTTATTACATAGCCATAGGACAAATACCACACTAAGTTAAACCGCTCTCCATTGTGTTACCACCATTGTACTTTGCACAATAATCCACCCACATCGCCCAAGCAATTTGACCATTGTGTTACCACCATTGTACTTTGCACAATAATCCACCCACATCGCCCAAGCAATTTGATCTCGCAACTCCTTCCATTCATTTCTAACATCTTGATCCTCTCTTTGTGACCTACATTGAGTATAGTCCACCACATTTGAATCGTCTTCATTTGTCTCTTCCCCCGTATCTTCATCAATTTTAACATTTTCATTTAAAATATCATCATCCGGATCCTCCAAGGCAATAAAGTTGTGCAACACAGTACACGCTAGTACAATGTCCACTTGAGTGGGAAATGGATAATTCGGCTTCGCCGTAAGAATTTTAAACCGATTCTTCAGTATCCCAAATGTGCATTCAATTTTTGATCTTAAAGATGAATGCCTTAAATTGAACAACTCATTCCTATTCTTTGGTGTCCTACCGGTGTGCTCTTTTAAATGATATCAGACACCGTGATACGGGGATATGAAACCTGGCATTGTGGTGTATCCAGCATCACATAGGTAATATTTACCTACATTAATTAAACAGTATTTTAAAATCTCAAATATTGCCAAGTATTTAATATATTATTCATAATGTGCACAAGTGAGAATGAATACCATCATAAACTCGGAGCCCGTAAGGCTGTGGTCTGAACAGGGCATCTTGTAATACCCTATAATTATTTGTTGCCCCCTCCCAGCCAGCCAAGACATAAGTAAATAGTTTATTGGGGGTGCAGGCTGCTAAGATGTTTTGGGTGACCCCTTTTCGCCCTCTAAACCGTGCAACTAGGTCACTAGGTAACACCGCGTCGACGTGTGTGCCATCTATCAAACCAATGCAGTCCTATAAAAAATTATAAATTATACATAGTTAAATAAAAATAAGTTTATTTGAAAAATTGTTAAGTTGTATGTATTTAATTTACCTTAAAGTAAGGAAAATAGTTTGAGTTGTTTGCAATCTCCTCGGGAACTTCTTTTGAGGCTTGCTTCATGTACCGATCACGTAATCCATTCATTGCTTGCAAGACTTTATTGAAATACCTGCTAACTGTTTCCCCTGATCTTATGAACTCAGTTCTTATTATTCTATTTTTAGTTTTGTGCCCAACAATACTTAGAAACATAGCAAGCTGTTCTTCAACTTGAACGTTTCTTGTATCTTTTAATAAACCGTTTGCTTTCATTACTTCAACAAGTTTAAAAAAGGCCCTAGGTCTAATTCTAATATAAGATTGGCAGCTATCTTGATAGCCCTCTAGTACACGTCTGAAGTGAGCCTCTCTACAATATATTTTTCTGATCTTTTCTTGCTTCGTACAATTTGATATTCTCTTGCGCTTAGCACGCATTCTCAAAATACATGTTACCAAAGTGACCACGGTATAGACAGCTGTATTAGCACACATCCTCTTTAATTCTTCCTCATCTTCCATATCCATCTACATCCGTTTGAAAATTATCATATAGTTACAGCTTAAGATGGCTACTTATTTCTTGTCAAAATTAAGTAGATAATTGATACAGATGGCTACTTATTTCTTGTCAAAATTAAGTAGATAATTGATACAAATATTTATTTCTTCAAAAGCAATAAATTTAATTGAGTCTAAAATTATTTTAACTAATGTTGCATTCCATCTCACACAATTATCAAGAAGCAAGATAGACCCAAAACAAACAAACTATATGGTTAGATTACTAATAATTTACACACACACAAAAAAAGAAAAGAAAAGAAAAAAACAGCAATTTCAGTTATTAAAAGACTGATTTGAAACATATAAAATTAATCTCTTAAATCACTAAAATTGCGATCAACCTCTATTTCTTGGTTGTTTCAAAATTAAAATTAATTCCTCGAATCACTGGAATTACTACTAGGGCCACCTTTTTATAGGTTCTTGCAAATTAATCCTTCTAGTCTTAAAAAAATAACAAGATACGAGGGATCAACTAACAATGTTAATTATTTGAAGGTCTGATTTTAAGATATGTATGGCACCGATACAGAAAATAACCCTCCAAAAAAAATAAGACTTATAATTACCGACACTAACAAGCCACTTATCCCATTCATCACATCAAGCATGAAGAAATAAGTCTAAAAAAGAGGACAAAATTTTATACCTAGCTGTAGAGGGCGAAAAATGCCGACGTCCAAGCAAAAAACCCACCAAAGTCAAAGAAAACACCTTAGCCAACAATCCCACTTGAACCAGAACAAGTTCGAGAAGGGATCACCAAGAATCAAAGGCAAGAAACCCACCAACAAGCTCGTGGAAAACAAATCTAGGGTTTCGAGTAACAGCCCCGACCCCAAGTAGAAGAAGACAAAGCGCGGGAGAAGAGGTGCGAAGAAGAGAGCGATGAGGCGGGAGCAGAACAGCGATTCCAGATCTAGGGATTGAATTCGTGAGGATTAGGAATCAGAATCGACATTGAAGCTCGCTGTCAGAAATCTCGCCCAAATCCGCTGCTCAAGCTCCGATTTGGGTTTCTATAAAAAACCCATATTGTTGCTACTTTATGGAAATTGTAATCCCAAAATTTTTTCTGAGCCAAACTCCAGAATAGGATTCACAAAGAATTCAAAAATTACATTTTTACCACTGTCAGACGCCAAATACTAATCCTTTTCTATAAATTGGTGAACCAAACAGACCCTAAGCATACACGCGTGGTGCACGTAACTGATGCTCTGTTCGGATTGAGGTGAATAAGGGAGGAGGGAGGGTAGGGTCGACATTCATCACGTTTGGATAATTTTTTACGGGTGAAGAGTTCCCCCTAGTTTACTTTGAACAATAC